ATAGGAAGGCTGTGGCAGAGCAGGGGACTGAACGCCAGTTTCCATAGCAGGCCAGCAGCCTGGCTATGAAGCTATTTTCATGCTCCAAGAACATGCCACAAACATTCTTCAAGAGTCCTCCCCTCCTGTAACAGTGGCCTCCCATAAGGATAGAGGTTGCCTGGTGTATCTGTTGATCCTGAGTGGCTAAGAATTGTAGTCATCTTTTTGTCATCTCAGCTCCCCTGAACTGTATTATGCTTAGTCTTTTAGAGCATGTATGCACTTTGTCCCCATTGCTCCCAGGGAGGGCTGCTTCCAAGCACGCTCCAGTCACCGGCTCCCACATACTGGCACTGAACCCAAAGAAGCAGCAGTAAAGCAGCTCTGGGGTGCCCCATGCAATTGCTCAAAAGCATGTTGTGGCTTTGGTATGTATAAGTGGACAAGTGAGTGGGCATTGGGAGTGGCTATCTAGGAGCTTAGGCACACCCTTTGACTGTGATCTTTTGGGGCAAAGGGATGTCTTCTTGGCATAAACAGTACCTGCCAGAATGGGGCTCTGGCCACAGTCAAAATGGAAGTTATCCATCCCAGTATTCTCTCTGGCTGAGAATGACCCCCGCCCCCCCCCCCAAATGATTGGATTGCTTGAACATCCCACAACTATGTACCAACGTGAACACTATGTACCAGGGTCCTGTTTCCCTTAAAACCATTACATAGTAGGATAGAGTTATAAATTTAACATTTCTTTAATAAAGTGTTTTTGTAATGCAAATGTTAAATGGTCACGGGCCTCAGCCAAGATATGGGTCTGCTGTGTCAGGCCCAATCCAAAATGAGAGTCCCTTCCCTAAAATGTTTAAGTGATGAGACCTTACAAAGCATGCAGTTGTGACCCTTGCCTCCTCCCATTCTCCAAACAGGCTGATCTTCCTGCAGGGCAAAGGGCCACAGCAGCCTCCTGACCCACGTTCCTCCATTCCACACTGACCAAGTCAGAACTCTTAACTATTATCAGCATTGCAAGACAGCATGATCCACCTGGAAGTGTCCCTCAGGTATGTGGGGCTTTCACACCCAATGGTGTAGGGCAGCAGTTCCCAAACTGTGGGTCATAACCCCAAATGGGGCTGCAACATCAGCAGATGGGGTTTGGTG